CTTCCTTTTTTTTTTTTTTTTTTTTAATACCAGAAATTTCAAAACTGAAAGCCATCAAGATCCCCTCTGTATTGCTCTGGTGTAAATACTTGACAATAAAATCAATATATTGCTATTAAGAGTTCCCTAAATGTATCTGTTTTCTCTGCATTTTCCACACTCTTCCCTGGGCCAGGAGCACAGTTCCTCATACTCACCTTATCCCCTCCTTCAACAATGTTTTCCAGGACCACTTTCTTTTTCAAGACTCAGCCTGGAAGCCCTGTCTAGGTCTGTGTCTGTCCTCTGAGCTTTCCGTGTGCCGTCCTATTCTTTAGCACTCTCTCTTCCCCATCAAAATGTGCACTCTGTTGGTGCAGACATCATCCATCTCATCTTTGTTGTGTCCTAAGGATTTAGCACAATAGCTGGCACATGGAAGCTACCTAGACCTTAACAACAAGGTTCTGGGAACTCTAAACTCCCAGCTATGCCCCTCCCCAAAGTGACAGGGCCCCAGTGTATGGTATCAATTCTACAGGTGTAAGTCTCATCAATTGTGTAGAAAGCAGGCCAACTGGGGAGATAACAGCCAGTTCGGCTCTAGGGCTCTGATTCCTCTTCTCTAACACTAGAGATTTGGGGGCAAAATGAAGCCACATAGAAAATTGTCATGGGAGTGAGAAAATTCAAATTTTGGCACTGTAGAGGGACTCTGGAAAATGAAGGGTTTACCTCAGGCTAAACACTATGGTATAGGGAATTGGTGGGGTTGCTACAAGGCCCCACTGATCATATGGCTGTGTTCAGTCATGCACTCGACCTAGCACACAGATTTTGTTCATAAAACACCCAGCAAATCATCTGGAGTTTGACTTGTGTGCTCCAGCAGACATGCTCTAGTAACCGAAATCTTTCCTGTGCCCATCCAGGTTATTGACCACAGGCAGGACAGCTGATCAAATAAATACTATTAAAAAACAACCTACTTTAGGAGGAGGATCAAGTCTAAACTGGGAGATTAACTTAATACTGCCCAGAAGACACTCATTAATACTCTGTTTCATAGGTTCTGCTAGATGATTCTGCAGTTTCACCAAATGACGACCACTTGCCTTAATGTCCAGGGGAGCTATTAGATGGGATTCATAAATCTTAGTTGGTTCTATCTGCACCGTTAGTGATACAGATCATTGGCTGATAGCCTTTGCACTGGAAGGAGATGTGTTAATTTGCCTAATTAATTGCCGAGAGTCATTAATTATTCAACACTTATCTAATTAGCTAACACTTGCACCTATCAGAACCAGAGGCAAATGCCAGATTGGAATTTGGTGGTCCTCCACATTATGCCCTAAAATAAATCAATGGATACTGTATGGAATACAAAAACAGAAGTGTGAAGGTCCCAGTGATAGTGAGTACAGATGTAGAGGATGTATATAGTCTCTGGTTGGTGGTGTGGTGTGGTGATATAGGATAAACACTGGACCACAAGGTCAGTTTGAACTACAAGTTCAGAGGTTAAAATCCATCAACTGCTTCTCTGAAACCTTATACCAGGTTGTTATTGTTATGAGTCCGAATCTACTTGATGGCACTTAGCAACAACAATGGTTGCTGGACCAACTTTAGGTGTTATTGTTAAGTGCTGTTGAGTTGATTCTTATAGCAAATTTGTATAGGGTTTCCAAGGAGCCACTGGTGGCTTTGAACACCTGACCTTGTGGTTAGCAGTCCATTGCTTGCCCTACAGTGCTATGCCATGGCTCTAAAACTTGAGATAAAAGACCTAGATATTATTATAAACTCCAAATTGGAACTTCTGTCCCAAGTTACAACAGTGACACACATGTTTGGCTTCACGGTGCTTCATAGTTGTTGCTTTCTCCAAGATAAAGTTCCTGTGGTTATTTGGAAATTTCAGGCCAAGTCACAATTGTCTATTTGGTGGTGGCAGTTCAACTATTTGTGCTACACGGATTCCTCAACATGGAGTTCACTATTCTCTTTTCTTCTCAAATTGTAGACTTTGCTAGTTGGCCAAGATATCTTGATGGGGTCCACCATGTAATTTGTAGAGATTGTGAAGACTGACTATCACCAGGACCAAGAAGATCTTTTAACAAAGACCCTATGAAATATATGAGCTTTTGATCCTTGACTATTGTATACATTCTTAAGGAGAAATCAAAGCACATTATGAAATACCATGTATTTGATGTTGATTGGATACTTATGAACATTTTTGGACCTGATTATATGGAAGTCATGAGAATAATGTCCTTAAAGCTCTAACCAGAATAGAACATCACCTGACTCCCTTGGGCATGGAGGCAAAAAGGAACAGGATGAAATTCTGCCAAAGTATCAAGGATTTTCTCTCCCAAATATGCAATGTAACAAGCAGCAAAAGTAGGGAATTCTTGGATTTCTTTTTTTCTCTAAGTAATATTATATTATCCTTTCAGTAAAGATATACACAGGGATTTATTCAACCATTTCGGAACAGTGACATCCATTACCTTCTTCACCATGTATGAACATTCTCATTATTTCCTTTTTGGTTGTTCCTTTTGAATTCATGGATTTCTTGAGACATTGTGTTTTCTGAAAATATTAACCTGTATTTGATATTCCATCTCCCTTGATCCTCTGTGATGGTTAAGGATGTGGTTGGACCATTAGTCTCTGTGGTTTGGAAAGCAATATAGAAGGCTGTTATGATGTAGTCATCTGCCATGAAGAGATCATATATTATCAATCATTTCCATGGTGAGCTCAGCTATGAGCAGCCAATCAGTTGAAAGGACTTCCAAAATATAAGGAGATTCTGGAAAAGCTCTTTTGCTTTTTACTAGATTTGCATCTGACTCAGAACCTCTAGACAGGGTCGCTATGCATAGGAATGGACTCAATGGCACTTAACAAGAGTATCATCATATAGTTTCTGGTTATTTGAACTTGAGCAAACAGCCTGCCATATTGCTTGCCTATCCTGGGATTCCTTAGCTTTTGCAGGCTGAGAATCAGCAGTTTGCCATCTTACCTGCCAACTTTGTATTCATCCACCTTCTCAGTAAATAATTTGCCCTCTGACCCGCCAATCTTGAGTATTCAACCCTGCAGCTACTTGAGTCCAGAGAAATCTCCAGACTGACTTCTGACACCCAGACTTAAATTTGCCATGCTTTGTGCTGGACTGCAAGGTCGGTTTGAATCACAAGGTTGGCAGTTCAAGCTTACCAGTCACTCCTTGGAAACCCTATACAGGGTCGCTATGAATCGAAAGTGACTCAACAGCACTTAACAACAGCAACAACAACAACTGGTATCATGCTGTAGGATAAACACTGTATTGCTCACCACAGGTTTGGTGCTTCAAACCCACCAGCTGCTCCTTGGAAATCCTATACAGGGTCACTGTGAGTTGGAACTGACAGGATAGTATTTCAACAACAACTGCATGAGCCATTCTCTTTCTATCTCTTTATCTATCTATATATATGCGTGTGTGTGTGTTGTTATTGTTAAGTGCTGTTGAGTCAGTTCCAATCCATAGTGAGCCTGTATAGAGTTTCCGAACCTCCGATCTTGCAGTTCAAGCTGACTTTACAGTCTAGCGCATTAACCCACAGCGCCACACAAGGACTCTACAACTATATATATATATTTTTGTTTTGTTTTGTTTTGTTTGTTTGTTTTTGTTGTTGAGTGTTTGGTTCCAACTCATAATGACCCTGAATAGGGTTTCTGAGGAATGACTGGTGAGTTTGAACCACTGATCCTGTGGTACAAACTACCCTTGCAGTCCAGCATATCAGCATATTTACCCATAGTGCCACGCCAGGACTTCCAAACACATAGAGACCCTGTAGAGGTCTGTAATTCTTTATGCGAGTAGAAAAGCTTCATCTTTCTCCAACAGAAGAGCTGGTAGTTTCAAACTTTTGACCTTCAGGTTAGAAGTCCAGCTCATAAGCACTATGCTACCAGAGCATATCAGCATATGAATATATATAAATATATATAGGAGTCGTGGTGTGGCACTGGAGGATAAGCACTTGGCCACAAGGTTGGTTTGAACTGAAAGGTTGGCAGTTCAAATTCATCAGCCATGCTTGGAAACCCTATGTAGGGTCATTATGAATCAGAACTGACTCTATGGCACTAAACAACAAAAACAAAATATATACGTATATATTGTTGAAATTTACATAGGTATGTACCTATGTAAATGTCACCAGTTTAGCTTCTCTAAAGAACCTAGCCTAAGACACCCCAGAAAGCTGATTCAGTGGATTTTACAGGCAGGGTTAGGGTTCAGCCAAATGAAGAGGTCCTGGGAAAGAAGTACTGTTTAATTTTCAGAACTCTTGTGTGAACTTGGATGGTCAAAGTTCAGATGAAGAGGTTTTCTGACGTCCTGACTATGGATGTTTTCCTCGGTTGTGATCACAAATAATTAAAACAATTTGGCTGGAGGTAGAGCGGGAGTGGGAAATGAAATGTTTGGGAACTGAAAGTTCTCATGTGCACTGGATGCATTTTTGATAGAACCTAGTGGAATTGTTACAGAAACCAACAGAGGGCTTGTATCCATGTACAGCTGTCTCAAAGCACATATGTCTGTGTGTTACACCAGACCGTGCTGGGACAAAGGCCAGATGTAAGGGAAAGGTGCTGTGATCAACAGTTAACCTGCCAACCAACTTGGTCAAAGAGAAAGGATGCCACACCTTCAAAGGGAGCCTGTCTTCTGGGGAAGAGCTGCTATGAGAGCTAAACAATAGTATAAAAGACCATGTCTGCAGAGGAAGGAGAACATTTTTAGTTGATAAGGGAATTTTATTGATAAAGGAATAATTCCATTATTAATTTCTGAAGAAAGTATGAGCTTAAAGGAAATATATTATTCAACTTGGAACTGAACTATTATGATTAGGTCTATAATGTGATCGCACATCATAATATTTCTCTTTTCATCCATCAATTTAAGAGCAACTGTCTACTTTATAGAAAGTATGGCTTCGATTTTACCACCATCCAATAAATCCATGAGGTCTGACAGAAATGCATATGTTGGGTGAGTATTTTTGAATTTTTCATTTGTTTTGATCACATGGGTGTTACTTGATCTTTGTATTGAGTGCTCAGAATATGAACCTCCATAGCTATGTAAATTTCTTAAGTTTAGAGGTATATAGTTGGAACAGAGCTCATAATACAAAACAAAATTTTAAAATGCAAAATTTCTTCCCAGTGGCATTTTCATTTCTTGTTTCTTGGGTTTGAACTCATCTAAGAAAGCAAAACAAAGAAAAACAGAAACAACATACCAACCAATCCACATGAGTGAACAAATTCAAAGTTCAGCTTGAAATTCACTGTGGAGTTCAGCTTTTAATTAGAGGACCATGGGCAATATCTGAGAAATAATTAAAGGGGCTACCAGTACCAGCTGTTCCCCGGGAGAAAGATGAGGCTTTCTGCTCCCGTAAAGATTTACAGCCTCGGAAACCCTGCACAGGGTCGCTATGAGTCGGAACCGACTCCACCGCACACAACAACAACAACCAGTACCTAGGGAGAATGTGCTATGTTGTAGTCCATTGTGAAGTGATTTTACATGCCTTGTGATGTACTTTACATAGATTTCACTTCTAAAATACTGTATATGCCATTCAATTCAGGGATAGACATAAATCTGCAGAAGCTGTCTGCAAACTTAGTTCCAAATCTGCCCCAGATTCAAAGACTATAGTCTTTAGGAGCATTAATCTTTAGGAGGTTTTTTTCTAAGTTCCCCCTGATTCACTGAGAGTTGTCTGAAATGGCTTGCTTAGTACCTCCATCATGTCAGGCTTTCAAAAAAAGCTCCAGTTACCTATCCTAACTAGAGGTAGCTTCCAATTGTATTCATTTTCTTCAAGGACACCAAGGAGAGAGAAAAAAAGAAAATATATGTAAAGGTAGTTGTTGTTGTTGTTAAGTGCCGTCGAGTCGGTTCCGACCCATAGCGACCCTGAACAGGGTTTCCGAGGCTGTAAATCTTTACGGGAACAGAAAGCTTCATCTTGCTCCCGCGGAATAGCTGACCTTGTGGTTCTCAGCCCGATTCGTAACCACTACGCTACCAGAACTCCTCATATAAAGGTAGAGGTAATGGTAAAATTAGTCCTGGAGTGGCACTGTGGGTTAATGTGAACTGCAAGGTAGGCGGTTCAAGCTCACCAGCCGCTTCTTGGAAACCCTATACAGGGTCTCTATGGGTTAGAACCAACTCGACGGCACTTACCAACAATAGTAGTAAAATGGAAATTGTTTTTCAGCCAGGACTTTTCTTTCATTACCAATATTTAATATCAGCCATGCTGTGTAACTATAACCAATACAATACAAATGTTGTTATTGCCGTCAAGTTGGTTCTAACTCCCAGTGACCCTTACAAGGTTTCTGAGGAGCCGCTGGTAGGTTTGAAATGTCGACCTTGCTGTTCAAACCAAACTTGTGGCCCAGTGTTTATCCTACAGTGGCACACCAGGACTCCAAAAACAGTTGTGAAATGCCGTCGAGTCAATTCTGACCCATAGTGACCCTGTATAGGGTTTCCAAGGAGCAGCTGGTGAACTTGAACCATTGACCTTGCAGTTCAAAGGGCTTTGCAGTCTGGCGCATTAACCCACAGCTCCAATACAGTAGAACACAGTTAATAACCTGCGTTGGTTTGAAAACTGCTTCTTGAAGATAGGAACAATGGAGTGTGCTGATGATTTAAAAATAACAAGGCCTAGGTCACCTTGACCAAGTGAATCAGAATTTCTAGGAGTAGGGCCAAGGTATCATTCCTTTTAAAGTACCCCAGATGATTTTGATACGAGTAGTTAGATTTTAGAATTACTGGAATAGATTAATGAGGCTCTTTTATAGCATAATGATTCTTCGATTGAGTTGGGAATCCATAGGAAATCTCTGAATCATAAAAAAAGTTTTGTCAGAGTGAATGGAGTTGGAAGATGTAATAGGAGTTGGAAGAGAAAGTGGTTGTCAGGCTTCTCAAACTTCAATGCACAAGTACAATACAGAATACACATTTCAATTCAGTATGTTGGGAGAGTGGTCTGAGAGTTTGCAGGTACAACAAACTCCCAGGTGATGCCAATGCTACTTAACAAGGAACTATGGGTAAATGCTTAGTTACCTCTTACAAAAGAAGAAAGGAAGTGTCCTTTTTTTTCAGAAGCTGAGGCTTATTCTGAAGTAGTAAACATCATGTTGTTGTTAGGTGTCATTGAGTCAATTTAAATTCATTTTGACTGCATGCATAGAGTTGAAGGCTCCCCATAGGTGCTGTAGGATAAGCACTGGACTTCGAAGTCAGTTTGAACCTTAAGGTCAGTGGTTCAAACCCACCAGTTGCTACTCAGAAACCCTATACAGCATCACCATGCTATACAACTGACTCTCAACAACAACAAGATTTACACAAAGAGATGATCATGTCGTTCTCCTGTGGAGCTGAGTATACTTGAACTACCAACCTTTTGGTTAATAGCTGAGTGATTAGCCAATGTGCCACTTGGTCTCCTTGTGTTATTAGAATGTTGTTGTTGTTGCTGTTAGGTGCCATCGAGTCGGTACCGACTCATAGCAACCCTATGCACAACTGGGCCAAGCTCACAATGGTTGCCATGCTTGAGTCAATCGATGCTGCCATTTTGCCAGTCTATCTCACTAGGGGCCTTCCTCTTTTTCTCTGACCCTCCACTTTACCAAATATGATATCCTTCTCCAGTGACTAGTCCCTCCTGACAATATGTCTGAAGTACGAGAGACGAAATTTGGCCATCCTGGCCTCCAAGGAGCACTCTGGCTGCACTTCTTCCAACACAGATTTGTTGGTTCTTTTGGAAGCTCATGGTACTTTCAATATTCTTCTCCAACACCATAACTCATAAGCATCAATTCTTCTATGGTCTTCCTTATTCACTGTCCAACTTTCACAAGCATATGAGGCTATTGAAAATACCATGGCTTGGGTCAGGTGCACCTTAGTCCTCAAGCTGAGATCTTTTCTCTTCAACACTTTAAAAAGGTCTTGTGCATCAGATTTGCTTAATGCAATATGTCGTTTGATTTCTTGACTGCTGCTTCCATGAGTGTTGATGGTTGATCCAAGAAGAATGAAGTCCTTAACAACTTCAATTTTTTCTCCATTGATAAAAATGTAGTTTATTGGTCCAATGGTGAGGATTTTTGTTTTCTTAACATTGAGATGTAATCCATACTGAAGGCTGTGGTCTTTGATCTTTATCAGTAAGTATTTTAAGTCCTCTTCACTTTCAGCAAGCAAGGTTGTATCACCTGCATATCTCAGGTTGTTAATGAGTCTTTCTCCAATCCTGAAGCCGTGTTTTTCTTTATTTAACCCAGCTTCTCGGATTATTTGCTCAGCATACGTGTTGAATAAGTAAAGTAAAAGAATACAACCCTGTTGTGCACCTTTCCTAATTTTAAACCATTCAGTGTTCCGGTGTTCTCTTTGAACAACTGCCTCTTAGTCCACGTACAGATTCCTCAGAAGCACAATTAAGTGTTCCGTATACTCATACTTCACAATGTTGTCCATAGCTTGTCATGATCCACACAATCAAAAACATTATTATTAGCATAGGATGGTTTATTTCTTAAACAAAGAATGGCCATTAACTAATTAATAATCTATTATCCTGAATGTTTTTTCAGAAGGAAATTAATGTTATACCTGTTCTATTTCCTGTACAATTTTGCATGATGCTTTCCTGTGTTTACAAAATTGGGACTTTTACCTTTTTAGTACCTCTTTTGCTAGGCAATTTAGGTTCACTTCTTGTTAATCAAGCTTTTTGTTGAACATTTCTTTTCTAACCCTATTTCTTCAAAACTCTGGACTTACTCATTCTCTCATGTCTTTATCTACCAACAACCAATCTCTTACTTCTAGCTTCCTACTCTGCTCTCTACTTCCACCACATCATCCTGCAGCATTTGTTTCTTAATTAAAATCTTCTAATGAAACAAACTATGAACTCTCTATATTGATAAAGGTACACTACAACTACTTAAAAATATCAGTGACATTATACCAATACAAGTTTGATTTTTGCTCAGTCTTCCCAAGGTTAATGGAGTGAAGGGACGTCCACTCCAAGTAGGCATTCAGGAACTCAGAGACTTTCATCTCGTGGCTCCGTCACCATCTGCATTTCACCAACATATAAGCAAAAAGAGAATTAAAGAATCGTGTTTCAGTGAGCTATTGGTTTTTAGGTGTTCCAGATTTAGAAGTAAAAACATCACTTCCACCCACATTCATTATCCAGAATTCAGCCACATGACCTCCCCGTATTGCAAGGGAAACTGGGATAGGTAAGGTGCCCAGGAGGAAAATGAATTGGATTTTGGTGAACATACAGCATTGTGCCACACCCTACTTTTTCTGGTGATCTCGGTAAAATACTGTTTTCCAGGTTCCCAGTGTTAGGAGGTGTAATAATGTCCATTGAGCATCAGGTATGATACAAACATTATTTCATTTAGGCCTCACCTTGGTCCTGCAAAGCAGTTATAATTTTTACTATACCCATGTTATAGATGTTGTACTATTTATTGACTAAGCTCGGACTCACAATGACCCTATGTACAACAGAATGAAACACTGCCCGGTCCTGGGCCATCTTCACAATAGTTATGCTTGACCCCATTGCTGCTGCCACTGTGCCATTCCATCTCCTTGGAGGCCTTCTTCTTTTTCATTGACTCTTCACTTTATCCAGCATGATGTCCCTCTCTAGGGACTGGTTCTTCCTGATAACATGACTGAAGTATGAGAGATGAAGTCTCACCATTCTGGTTTCTAAAGAGCATTCTGACTATACTTCTTCCAATATATATTTGTTTGTTCTTCTGACAGTCCATGGTACTTTTAATATCCTTCACCAAATACCATGATTCAAATACATCAATTCTTCCATGATCTCCTTTATTCATTGTCCAACTTTCACATGCATATGAGGCAATTGAAAATACCATGACTTGGATCAGGCTCAGCCTAGTTCTTAAACTGGTATCTTTACTCTTGAACACTTTAAAGATATCTGGTGCTGCAGATTTGCCTAAAGCAATACGTCATTTGATTTCTTGGCAATTGCTTCTATGAATGTTGATTGTGGATTCAAGCAAAATGAAGTCTTTGACAACTACTCCAATCTTTTTTCTATGTACCAGAATGTTATTTATTTATCCAGTTATGAAGATTTTTGTTATCTTTTCATTGAAACGTAATCCATACTGAAGACTATAGTCTTTGATTTCCATCTGTGTTTTAAATCCTCTCCACTTCCAGCAAACAAGGTTGTATAATCTGCAGACCACAGGTTGTTAATGAGAAAACAAAGGTATCAAATTACTTAGCCAAGGTTATACAACTAATGTGTGTATGTGTGGGGGTGGGTGGGGGGAGGGTGTGTGAATGTGTAGTCTGATTCCAGAAGCCAGTAGCTTGTTACACTGGTTACTATGCAAAGAGAAATAGCCATTAAGATCAAACAGAACTGAATAGAAATGACTGTTCTGCCATTTACTGTATACTTAAGAAAGTTTCTCAACTTCTGAATGTCTCAGTTTCTTTCATTTTAAATTGAAATATTACTGCTAGTTACCTAAGTATCCCTGGAAGTCGGCAGTTCAAACCCACCAGTTGCTCCTATGAAACCCTATTCAGGGTAGTTGGAACACACACAATGGCACATAACAACAAAGTATCCCTGGTGGCATAGTAGGTTATGTGTTGGGCTGCCAACCGCAAGGTCAACTGTTTGAATCCATCTTTGATTTACAGCCCTGAAAATCCCATGTAGGGTCACTATGAGTGAGAATCTAGTCAGTGGCAATCGAATGGTTATGGGTATAAATTTAGTCATCTATTGATTGTATAGGGTTTTCATAACTTAACACTATGTTTGGCACATAATATACGTATAGACTAATATATTTTCTCTTTTGTGTGTTTTTCTTTAAATTTCTTTATATTCTCTAACATTTTTTTCCAGGAAAAGGTTTGTTCATGTTAAAAATCCTTACCTGGATTCTATGGATGAAGACATTCTCTATCACTTTGCTTTAGGAACAAAAACACACAACTTACCAGCGATGTTTGGGGATGTAAAGGTAAAAGTATTTCTAACCTTAGGAAAAATTACTGAGTTTCATTTGTTGATTATTTTTCTTACCATCCAACATAGACTTTATAATTTTGCCTGGAGATATGTCTGAGTTCCTAATAGGAACAAAAGCCACACCCATTTGCTGGAACAATTTAGAATTTGGGTGGGCATCATGAATAATCATGTTCACTCCAACAATATAGAAAGGCTCCCAAACCAAATCTAATATACACATGATTATTTTGCTGCTCTGGTCCCTGGAGATAAATACGATTTTATTGAAAATACTCCTGGGTGTTCAGAGACATTGGGAATTCAATATGCTTTACAGAAGTTTATTATTTAATATCTAAATTACAGCAAAAACTCACTATTTCTTATTAGAGATAAAATAACTGTCAACAAAACAATATTGTATTATTTAACTTCCTGAAAAATAATATATTACCATACTATATCATTATACAATATATCATGATATTAAGATTTTTGCTATTTAATAAGAAAATTGTTTGTATAATACTGCTAGAAAATTGCAGATACGTATTATTTATTTTATTATAAATATATTTTTAAATTTTAAAAGGTTTCATCATTTAAAATGGAAAAATATAAAAAAGGACAAGTTTTTTAATAAACAAATGTAGTCCATCGTCCTACCACCTAAATATAAACACCATCAATCATTTTCCTCCCGTCCTTTGTAATGAATAGATTGTTAAACAGTTCTAATTATATTACTTCGTGTAGTGTATTTTCTATTTGACTTTATGTCATGAGCATTTCCCCATATTATTACATTTCCTTTGAAACACGTTATTTATGATGTCAAGTGACTATACCATACACTACATGCATAGTGTAGGGTTGACTTTTATGTGAGAGTAGTTTCTATTATGAGCAGCATTCAAATATTTTTGCACAGTATTATGTGAATAATTCTTCACATTTAGGACTATTTGTTTAGGATGATTCACATAAATAGTCAAAGGAAATGAGCATTTTGAAGAACTTTTGTTTTCTAAAGGGCCTTTGCCTATTTATAACCCCACTAACTGAGAACTGTACAGTTTTCATCAGACTTAATTCACTTCTTTAGCAATTGTAAAAGCAACAGCAACAAAAAATTTTTCACATCCACCATCTCTAAATATTCACACTGGCAGTTTTACATAAATTAGGCAGACATTCATTTCCTTTATGCAACAAACAGACTAAATTCATAGGGATCAAATGGGGTTATAGTGACAACATACAAAAGTGGACCAAGTTCTTCCAAGTCTAATTGCCCATGCTCTTGTCTACTTCACTACATAAACTCTTAGCATCATAGTAACTCAGATGGTCCATAAATTGTGAGGGAAGAGTTGAAGAAAAGAGAAAAGGAGGATGAAGAGATTATTCAAAAGAAGTAGAGGAGACAAAGAAGGAAGAAAGGAAGGAAGGAGAGGGAATGAGGAAAGGAAGAAGGAAAGAAAAGAGATTCCTTTAGAACATTCACCAGTTATAGGTGCTAAATTACCTCCTCTCCTAGGGAACAAAGTCTGAGGGTATGAACTGATTTCCTGGCAGCAATATTACCCACCTATTTCTCTACCCACCTCCAGACTGACACTTCTTATCTTTTGGTGGCCTCTTTCCATCTTTGGTTTCATCTTTTCCTACTGAAGTTTATGCTCTGAGAGTCATTAATCAAGGCTTTGCATATATCATACATATATAAAGACTATCTTTGTTATTCATTAACCAGATTTCACCCGAATTCAAATTTTAAGATTAGGATTCATGCTGCATAATGATTTCCCCAGGACTTTTATCTGCAATGACTTTTAAAGACTTGGAATATATTTCTGAGACAAAAAGTGCTCTATTATCTACATTTAAAGTATTTGTCTTTTCTTCTATCTCTTCCACCATTTATAAAGTGCTTTCTGTGTATCAGGTTTTGTAGTAGGCAGATTCGTGTGGAATATCATACTCAATCACCATAGCAATTCAGGTTGTTAGTTACAATCTCCAGATGAAGAAACTGAGGCTCAAACATAGATGAAGTTTGTAGATATAGAAATGATATTTATATATCCATCAGTAATAGCTACAACACAGCTGGTAAATGAAGGAGCTGAGATTAGACCTTAGGTGTCTCTATTGAAAACAAAACAAAACAAAAAAGCAAAACACCACCACTATATTTGCTTGTTTCTGGGAAATCATTGGAAAGGATTGTTTTGTGTTGGAGCTGTAAGTAGTGACACTTATACTTCTGTTTCTTTCTCATACTCACACATGCATACACCATTGTCTCATTTCTGTTACAATTAGGCTTTAATCTCTCTGCCTGGCTAGGTTATCTTTAGCAATGCCTGTCATAACCTCTGTCCAACATTGTAAGCTCACCACCTACCTAGCTGTGGAAGCCTTTACTAGATTCTCTCTCTCTCGCTCTTTTTTTTTTTTTTTTAAGTTTTTTATTGTAAATTGAATGATATTGTACATGGGAGAACAGCAGTTTTGCATTTATCATTTCAATGTAATAATTACAAGCTCCTCCGTGCATCATCATCATTCAACAGTATTCCCTTTGGGTTTTTTTTTAACCTGCCTCCTGGTCACCAGCACCTGGCCACCAGCACACAACCTTTCTCTTTCCATGAGTCTAGAGTCCTCAGCTGCTCTCTCTCCACGCCCTCATCTCTGTCTCCAGCTCTGGTGTCACTGTTTCTCTGGATAGGGTCCCATATTCTGCTTGTGCTCTTCTGCCTTGATGGTCCTAGGGGCCTCTGTTTCTGGACTGTAAGATTAACTACTACTCCATTTTTGTTATAAAGCTTCTACCTTTACAGCTGCGACAGTCGCAATTAGTCATGATAACAATTACTCACTATTGAATGATAAGAATCTTATCCCCATCTCTTTTCACCAGACCCATTTAGACAAGAGGAATACTACACAGTGGGTATTCTACCTTCCCCTCACACTCTGAAACTCAACTCCCTCTTGAAAACTTGTAAGCCAGCTACTTCATGTCTTTATAGCCCCTCCCATTTTAGGTAGTCAGTGTCTAAGTTGCCCATCCCTATCTACCCTGTGTACAGAGGGGATAGAATTGTACACAGTTGATGTGTAGACTCCTTCCCCCTCAGTTGATATTTTGAGCTGCTACCTCTATAAATATAGGTCAAGTTCATCAAATTGTAGCAATTTACACTTGTTTCCTTTATCAATATATATATTATCTTCCTTTAGTCAAGTTCTAATGATCAAGCCATTGAAGCTAGATTGGATGGGTATTATCTACAAGTTTGGGCACTCTTGTGCATCTCCCCTGATTTCATATCAGCTGAATGCTTCACTCTCAGCTCTAGCTCTCTGTGGCTATGTCCTTGTCCAGGGGCTCATATGTTCCCAAGTCTCACCACACATTGGACCAACCAGCCCTTCCTCTTCTCTCTCTCATCTTCAGGTCAAAGGGAATCTATGGAATATGGTCGAACACGGCCCATGTCTTCATTGCTGCCTTTCCCCCTCTTCCACTCACCAGGTGACCAACATGGTCACAAGCAAGCTTACATGCATGCTCATGTGTTCCCTTTGAGTTTCAGTTTTAGAAGGGGATTTGTCCTGAAAGGACTTGATTGCTTGCCTTGATGGCTCCCAGTGAACACCTTGCTTGTTCTTATAGTAGCCAATCAGACTGCCATTTTTGTTTTGGAGTTTTCCTGCTGGTCTTTTTTTTTTTTTTTTTAAAGAAGTATCTTCTGTTCCTCTACCTCTTCCAGGCTGATATGCTTTTATTTTCAAGTGGGAATGTACCACCTCAGAAGGTTCCACATGGGGCTCTAGATTTTCTTTTGTATAAAACACATTCTCTGATTTAGAGCCTAATTTGTCCAACTAGAGAGCAAGTCTACTGATAGGCCACTTTGACAAATAGGTAGCAAAGTGGGTAGGGAAGGGAGGTAGGATGTGAAGCAGCCAATATAGTTCCAAATGCATGTAAGTGGCCATTTAACCTAAACTAGGATTCTCTAGAGGAAGCAGATAAAGCCTGGTCTGTATTTACAGATAATTTTCTCAGAAACTAGCCTTCACAAACCAGTTTCTTATCTTTGAGTGAGAACATGCTAGCTTCAGTTTCTTGACTTCCTTAACTTCCTTAGTACTTCTGTTTAAACATAGAGAGGACAGAATCCACCAATATCTGGAAACTCTGTCGCATCTTTAAAGAGATGATAATTGCTATTAATAACTACTATTATCTTCAAAAGAAAAAACAAAAAACTCTGAGTGTATAAAGTTTGGACCTGACAACCACTCCTAATTGCTCTTACTATATTTTTAAATACCATTCACTTGACACTTTGTGATACTATGGTGGCTTGTGTGTTACTGTGATGCCGGAAGCTATGCATGACGCCAGTGTTTTAAATACCCACAGGTTCAGCCATGGTGAACACATCTCAGTGAACTGGACGGTGTTTCGTTCTGTTACAAATAGGGTCGATGTGACTTGGTGTTGACTCGACAGCACCTAACAACAATCTATTTTTAAAGCTTTTGCTAGATGTTACCCCCAAATTTCAGTGACTTAACATAATGTAAATTTACAGGAGGGCTTCAAAAAGTTCACAGAAAATTCCGATGTTTTCAAATGTCATTTTTTTCATGAAATTTTTGAAGTCTCCTTACGTGTCTCACTCACATTAATAGAGAGCTGGTATTCCTGGTCAATGGATGGCTCTCCTCCAAGTGGTAATTCAGAAACCCAAGCTTCCCACCTTCTCACTTTGCCACCTTCAGCGAGTGACTTGCAAAGTTTTCCTGATGTCAACACCCAACCAGTAGACAGGAGAAGAGTATATGTAGGACCACCAGTGGGAGATTCCTATGAACTAAGATTGGTAGTGGTACCTATAACATTCTACTGGCTGCAACTCAGCCACGTGGCCTAGTGTGGTGCTGTAGGATCAGGTCTGGACTGTTAATTACAAGGTCAATGGTTTGAACTCAACAGCTGGTCCTTGGAAACCCTATACAGGGTTGCCATGATTCGGAATGGATTCCCTTAAAACAATTAAAAGGAAAGTAAAGTGTTCCCAGAAAGAGAGGAAAACTGTTTCTTACTTTCTCCATTTCTTAACAAAGCGCTAAATTTTAAGATCATTTGCAAGATCATTAACTGGCAGTCTTCAATCTTTTCCTAGACTCATTGAATCAAATTGACTCAGAGAGTCTACAGGAAATAGTAGAACTGCTCTATAAGGTTCCTGAGACAGATTGCTTCATCTTTGTTTTAAAGCTAGTGGGTTTGAATTGTTGACTAAATTAATGGTGGTGGTGGTGGTGGTTATGTGCCGTGGAGTCGGTTCCGACTCATTGTGACCCTGGATAGGTTTTCTGAGGCTGTAAATCTTTATGGGAGCAGAAAGCCTTATCTTTCTCCCGTGGAACCGCTGGTAGTTTTGAACTGCTGACCTTGAGATTAGCAGCTCAATTCATAACCACTACGCTAACTTTTTTAAGACACTAATAATTAAGAGTCTGTTCTAGCTATCACTGAGCTAAGTCCTTAATATTTCTTTTGATGCCTCTAATCCCTCTCCAATGTATTTCTGTCTTCCTTGATAGAAGTAGGATAAATGATAAGCTTGTTTGGGACATTAATCACAATAAATGATACTAAAGACAAAGTTATGCTAGTTGGTGGTCTTTAGTTTTGTTTTATTTTTCATTAAGGTGGCCAGACTGGAAATCACATCTAGAATTGATGTTCAGTAAGCCTGATTTAGAAATAAGGCTTCAAGAACTAAGCTGCTCTGTCTGTATAGATCATCTTTATGTCTCCAGAAGTGTTCAGAAATTTCTGTTGATTACAGCAATATCTATAGTTCAAAGAAGAATTAAAACCACAAACTATTCTAACATCTGTTTCGGTTTTATGGTCAATCTGAATAGTTGTAGTTTACATTAATTGGTACCACACAATAAGGTTATTTTCAAACTACTGTACATTGAAGGGGAGAAAGAAGCTTCCTTGTACTTAGATCTTACATCAAATTTTAACTATTAATACAACTGGAGAAAAAATTGATGAATAATCAATAATCATTTTTAAAACCCATCTTACACCCTGGTCTAATCTTCGTTGCTCCCCAGCCTTCATCATTGGCCTCTATTGCAGATTTGTTTTAAAAATCAACTTTAGGCCCCATCAGAGAGACTCATAAGAAGCACAGAATAGTCAATAATGAGGGTGTAAGAGAAGCAGAGGGTCTGGATAAAAGTATAATTACATCCCATAATTGAAAATGAATGTGGCACAGGCATTATTTTAAAATGGAAACAGAATGCATCATCATGTAATCAGACCACCCACTAGTTATATTATTTATTCACTTGTGAATGGAAGATCTTACTTTACAATCTTATTTGGATATTTCCTTATATATTTTTTTTTGTCCTTGTGAGGGATGGTGCCAGGCCGGCCCTCCATTGGATCCTTCGTCCAATGCTGCCCACATCAGTCAGGCAGTGCCACCACCTTTGCTTTACTCCACAACATGAGCTAGCTTCATTTGTACTCAATTCTGCATTACAGCAGCAAAACCAAGTTCAAAAACAGGGCCAGTACATTGCTGTAATAGACTGTTAACATTTGTTGAACACTTGGAATGTGCTTGGCTCTGTGCAATGTTCTTTGCCATAAACAATCCCATTTCATCCTTACAAAACCCTTTGAGGTTTTTCCTGTTATAGAGATGATGATTCGAAACACACAGATATTGAATGTGTGGCATTGAGCAAGTTACTTATTCAGCAGTGGTGTTGGAATTCAATGCCAGTTTTGTTGTTGTTAGGTGCTGGCATAGTAAGTACCTAACAACAGTATTGTCTGATTGAAAATAGTCTATATTTGTCCATTTCAGTTCAATAATGCTGACAATGTTGATCTTTATGCTTTCTATCTAACTTTGAACAACTCCCAGTTTTCCTAGATTCATAGTATATTTAGTATATTCCACATTCCAATTATTGTTGGATGTTTACACTGTATTTTTCTCATTTTGAGTGGTGCCACCACTCGTCTGTCAGTTTGTCATGCTGCGTGGTTTGCATGTTGCTGTGATGCTAGAAGCTATGTCACCAGTATTTCAAATACCAGCAGTTTCATGCATGGTGGACAGGTTGTAGTGGAGCTTCTAGATTAAGAGAAAAGGATCTGGCAGGCAACTTCTGAAAAATTATCCTCTGAAATCCTTATGAATAGCAGCAGAGAGTGTCTGATACAGTACTGGAAGATGAACCTCTCAGGTTGAGGGTGCTCAAAATATGACTGGGGAAGAGCTGCCTCCTTAAAGTAGGAGTTGATGTGGGTGGATTAATGATGTGGGCAAAACTTTCATGACCTTCATTAGCTGATTTGGCATGACTCAAAGCCAGGTTTCCCTAAACTCAAAGGAAAGACCCTTAACCACTACAATGCTTTTCTTCTCGGATTTAATGGCTCTTCAGATTCCGGGCACTTTGCCACTTGCCTGAGAAGTCAGTTCATGAGTGGCGCCCCTCTGTGGGTTGTGTTGTCATCCTAGGCTTCTGTCTGCTGTCACTCAACCATTACTGACCTTAGGTGCTCACTGGCTGGCAGCTCATTCATGACATTATGAGACCACTTGTCATTTCCCTCTCATCCCTCCAGCAGATATACTTCCAACAGGCTATTGCCCGAACAGTGACCGGCCAGTTTTATTTCATTAGATTAAAGTCACCTTTGACTATAACACCTATCCAGTTCCCAAAATGTCAAAATGTGAAAAAACTTAAAACTTTTACAATTGATGAAGTGTGGTGAATTGATGTTGAGGACTTGTTCCAAGCTTCCTTTTCAATGAAAACTTAGATCTTGGCAGAATTCCTTAAAAGTGTTAAGTTAATACAGCACATTTTGCAATAAAAACTTATGGTTGGTGATGTTGAATCAGAAAACATCTAAAATTGGTAGTTCTCCTTTTGATCGCATGCTCCTTACATTTTGTTTCCTCAGTACCAATTAACTTATGGCCACAGAGTTGATTTTGACTCATAGTAACCCTGTAAGGCAAAGTAGAAACACTCCTTAGGGTTTTGGAGACTGTACACTTTACCATAGTAGACAATCTGCTCTTTCTCCCACAAAGTGGCTGATGAATTTAAACTTCTGATCTTGTGTCTATACCATCAGGACTCCTTCATGTCTTTGGTGGTGTTAAGTGCTGTCTAGTTGATTCCAACTCAGAGTGACCCTATATAGGGTTTCTGAGGAGCAGCTGGTAGATTTGAATCACCAACTTTGTGGTTAGCACACTTGTGCTTATCCTATAGTGCCACACCATGTCTGTTGTTATTGTTGTTGTTAAGTGCTGTCGAGTCGGTGCCTACCCTTAGCGACCCTATATAGGGTTTCTAAGGAGTGACTGGTGAGCTTGAACCACTGAACTTGCAGTTCAAACGGCTTTGCAGTCTGGCGCATTAATCCACAGCGCCACACCAGGACGCTGTAGTACTTGAAGATTAGGTATACATCCTGCTGATGTTCAACAGTAGGTTGTCTACATCAGCTTAAGATGCTCACTGATGCTCACTGCAAACAAAAACACCAGGAAACATCTACTTAAATAACATTAAAAAAACTTATTTTGATTTTGTGATAATCTTTTTTTTTTTTTTTTACTAATTTGGTAAAGTACATGTTGACTAATTTAGCATCTGGTTATCTTGTTTGTAGGTGAATGATGAAAATTGACTAACTCATGAACATGATCCATAATACATACTGAAAACTAACATAAAAACATTCAAGTTGAAAGCCGACCCTTGGTCCTTAATTCCAATTATTATGGCAGGTCATTGTTTGTTTTTATCAACAGTTTGTCTGTGTTGGTGGAAGCCCTAACAGAATGAAAGCATTTGCATTGTTTATACACAAGGAGCTTGGATATGAGGAGAGTGGAGAAGAAATAAAAGACATCTGTGCTGAGACTGACAGATATTGTATGTACAAAATTGGTCCTGTGCTCTCCATCAGTGTAAGTACTTAATTGTTGCAGTTTAGCAAGTCATCACCAAGCTAGAGAAAAAGGGAAGACTTCTTCATGTAGGAGTTCTTTTCCACTCTTGCTTTACGCTTACGCAAGTAGACTAAATGGCCAGGTAGAACATTCACCATTGGAAAAAGTCCTAGGGGCAGAGCATAGCATTCAATGTCACCTTAGTTTATTAGTTACCACTTAGCTATTCAAGTGAAGGGAAAAACGTCAACGTACACACATTCTCTCTTTAGTTTGTAACTGATTAACTCACCAGTCATTTTCTTTCTTTTACCCCTGAAATGACTTGCGGAGTATTAAGTTTTTAATATACATGGGCCAGTTTTCAGTCATGCCAAAGTGGTACCGTTTAAGCTCACTGAGAAACTGCTAATGTGTTTGCTAGGAGCTCTTGCGGAGTGCTCTCCTGCATTTATAATATGTTAGCAGGTCTGGACACACACAGTGCCCTAAGACAAAATGAAAGTGGAATTATTTGCATTTTAGGGAACATGCAGACCATTTCCCAAGTGGACTCAAGGTACGTACAGTTGTTGTTAAGTGCCATTGAGTCGGTTCTGACCCATAGCGACCCTGTATAGGGTTTCTGAGGAGCAGCTAGCTGGTGAGCTTTAACTGCTGGCCTTTTAGTTCAAACTGACTTTGCAGTCCAGCACATTAACCAACAATGCCACACCAGGACTCCAGGTTCAATTGTTGTTGTTGTTGTTAGGTGGCATCAAATCGGTACCGACTCATAGCGACCTTATGCACAGCAGAACGAAACAATGCCGGATCCTGGGCCAACCTCACTACAAGCATGGCAGGTAAAATTAGAAAGGTGTATACATATGTACGGAGTCCTGATGTGGTGCTGAGGGTTAAAGCGCCAGACTGCAAAGCTGTTTGAATTGCAAGGTCAGCGGTTCAAGCTCACCAGTCACTCCTTGGAAACTCTATACCGGGTCACTATGGGTTGGAACCGACTTGACACTTAACAGCAACAGCAGCATACATACATACAGTTTGCTTTCTAAACTTGCCTCTGAGTTGCTGTTGTACTGTGGAGTCAGTTCTCATCCTTAGCTACCACATATGGGATTTCCGAGGAGCAGCTGATGGGTTTGAACTGCCAACCTTGTGGCTAGCAGTCCAGTGTTTATCCTACAGAGCCAGAGTAGAACGTCTGTCTCTCGGTACAGGCCTATATGTCTAAGCAACTACTCTAAGCTTCTCACACACTACAGCTCTCCATAGGGGCAGGAATTCCCTGGCTAGGAATGTCAGTGGACAGGGAAAAAATCAACTGCAGAGGCAGGACCATTCTAATGACCTGAGTTATAAGTGGCTCCTATGCCAGGGAATAATCACATCTTACAACAACTTATTAATTCTTGATAATGGAGAGATAGGAGCTCTGGTAGCGTAGTGGTTATGAATCTGGCTGCGAACCACAAGGTCAGCAGTTCGAAACCACCAGCTGTTCCGCCGGAGAAAGATGAGGCTTTCTGCTCCCGTAAAGATTTACAGCCTTGGAAACCCTGTTCAGGGTCGCTATGGGTCAGAACCGACTCGATGGCACTTAACAACAACAACAACAATGGAGAGATGCAAGTCATAGCTAGAAGGGTGGGGCTGTTGTTGTTAAGTGTTGTAGGGTTGGTTCCTACTCATAGCGATCCTGTTTAGGGTTTCCTAGGATTGGCTGGTGAGTTTGAACTACCAACCTTGTGGTTCAAGTGACCTTTCAGTCTAATGTTTATCGTACAGCGCCACACCAGGAAAAACTATGGCATGCAAATGAGGCAGCTAAACTCATCTTCCCTCTATGCCAAAAAAGCCTGAAGCCTACTTTTAGCTAAAATGAGAGAATCCTTTTTTTTTTTTATTCACTTGTTCATTCAATAAACTATTATAGAATGTCTACATTAGAAGGAAACTGAATATCCTTTGGTCTTGGACGAACTTGTCTTAGTAACTTTTGTTTGACTTTTATACTATAACTATTTGTCCTTTTGTGAGCAGTCTAAATGCATAAGGACAAAAAATAAGGTTTATAAAATTTTAAAGCTACTATAAATATGTAATAAAACTCCAGATTACAACATAAAAACAGCCATAGACTGATCTTGCTGTCCTGTGAGGAAAAAGAGCTGAAATATATATCATACCCAGAGGTCAGTCAGTAAATACCTACTTAAGTAACTGACTTTGATTTTGTGATTATATTTTTCTTTACTGACTAACTTAATACATCAAACTTTGCATCTGAATGCCTTATTCATAGATTAACAGTAAAAATAAACTTGTCAGGAAGGGGCATCACTATGTAGGCAGAGGATTTCCAACTGGGGTTCTTTCTGGAAATTCTTCATCTTCAGTTGCTGCTGAGTTATATGTGTGTGTGTGTTTGAGAGAGAGAGAGAAAGTGGGGTGGAGACTGACTTTAGTTGAAATAAAAATATTCAAAGTCATTTATTATTTTATCAACATGATAATCATAAATCTAACAAATGTTTGATTTAGAAGGAACCTAATATATTAAATAATAGTTCATTCTCTTAATTTACAATTGAGGAAAATGAGACTCAGAGAGTTTACTCATTAGTGACTAAGCAAGTGTCAAAGCCCCGGACGTATTCATCTTGGGCACACAAAGATATATGGTTGATTCCTGATGCCAGGAGGATTGCAATGAATTAAGAAGGCAAGGTGTGTACAATGAGAATGAAAATGAGGAATGCAGAGATTTCCAGTTTCCATAGTACAGATTGTTGATGGTGAGGAGAAGGGAACTCAGTTTTCCAGATTGTTAATGGTAGAGTCAGTGGCAGGCATCACCTAACTGCCATGATACTCCTGGTGCTTTTCTGCACACAGAGTCTCTGTAACCAAGAGTAGGATACAAGTATATTGAAACTGCATTAAAGGAACACATTTGACTCTCTGCTGTTCTGTTATGAATGAAGTTGTCACCAATTGTAAATGCATCTCTAACTACTACAGTTCTGCCCCAGCATGGAGGATCTTTCTGGAGAGTTATTAGAACATAGTGCAACTATTCCAAACCAAAAACCAAACCAATTGCCATCAAGTTGATGTTGACTCATAATGACCCTATATAGGGTTCCCTAGACTAAATCTTTATGGGAGCAAACAGTTTCATATTTCTGACTAAATCTTTATGGGAGCAAACAGTTTCATATTTCTCCCAATGAGTGACTCTGAGTTTGAACTGATCTTGCCCAATACCTAACCCATAGGTTACCAGTACTCCTTTCATACAACCATTGTTGTTGTTAAGTGCTGCCCAGTTGGTTCCAACTAAGCAGCCCTGTAGAAAGTTTCTGGGGAGTGGTGGGTGAGTCTGAACTACTGACCTTGTAGTTAGTGGTCTAGTGCTTATCCTACAGCACCACACCAGAACTCCATTCCAACCATGACTGTTGTTGTTAAGTGCCATAGAGTCAGTTCCAATTCATAGCAATCCTATATAGGGCTTCCAAGGGAGCAGCTAATGGGTTTGAACCACTGACCTTGGGTTAGTTGTCCAGTGCTTGTCCTACAGCACTCCACCAGGACTACATTATTGTTATGCGCTGTCGAGTCAGTTCTAGCTCATAATGACCCTGTATAGGGTTTTCGAAGAGTGACTGGTGAGTTTGAAATGCCAATCTTGAGGTTCATACTGGCCTTTGCAGTCCAGCACATTTCCTGCAACACCATACTAAGACTTCCAGCACTCACTAAATCCTCTAGTCTGTTCATCCCAATTGGAGTGACTGATTCTACTGTTGTAAATGCTGAAGAAACCAGGGTTAAGGCCATGAGTTTTAGCAACCTAACTTTACTTACACATTCAGAATAAGCTCCAAAATGTTAGGTGTGGGAGTAACTCGTAACTTTACCCTAGTACCTTTCTGGGCCAGCACAGATTTAGCAGCAAGTGAACAGGCAGAATGAGAGTGATGAGATAGATTTTTGAGTGTATTTAATCTAGTGGTAAAAAACTAGTAGTGGCATGGCTGTCAAACTTAAATTTCCTCAGAATCAAGTCATTCTTGCAAACAATTTTTCTCCCTCAAAAAATATCATCCTAGAGAGCCCTTTGGAAAGATGAGAAATGACACTACCCTGACATACCTGAACACTGGACCCTCCTCACTTTCTGCTCCTGACGATGAGGCTGAGAGATGCTTCTCTCTTAGCCTTGCAGATGGACACATCTATCAGCATTGTCCTGTAGGCATCAGTTAGAGATGACTTACATTTTCCTCAGCACTTAATCTTAAATTACCATGCAAATTTATCCAAAATCTGTTAACTTATAATAAAGGAAGAAAATATGTCCTGTGCATGTATCAGTTTTCGAGATGTATAATGGTTTTCCCCTTTCTCTCCACAGCATGGCATGGGCGTCCCCTCCATTTCTATTATGCTTCATGAACTCATCAAATTACTTTACCATGCTCGGTGCTGTGATGTTACCATTATCCGAATTGGTACATCTGGGGGAATAGGTGAGATGGATGGATTTCTACCATTTAAACTGAGTGATTCTGGCATACACATAACTGATAAACTCAGAACCCAGCAGAAATTTAATGGACTCTACCCATGTTACCAAGGAGCTCTGGTAGCATAGTGGTTACAAATCGGGCTGCTAATCTCATGGTCAGCAGTTTGAAACTACCAGCTGTTCCATGGGAGAAAGATGAGGCTTTTTGCTCCCATAAAGATTTACAACCTCGGAAACACTGTACAGGATCACTATGAGTCAGAACCGACTCCACAGCAGAGCAGAAAGCCTCATCTTTCTCCCACGGAACAGCTGGTAATTTTGAACTGCTGACCCTGACTCAAAACATAACCTACATTTATCCTCATCATTAACATAACAATGACAACCCATTCCCAAATGGAATTTAACAACAGGCATAGAGGTTAAAATTTAGAACATATATTTTTGTGGGACACAGTTCAACCCATAACAGATAAAAGTACATTTTGAAGATTAGAGTAAATTTTGAAGCTTAAGAATTTTATGTTGTGGTTGTTTTTCCAACTCATAAAGACCCTGTATTTCTGAGGAGCAACTGGTGAACTTAAACTGCCGACCTTACAGTTCAAACCGACCTTGCAGTCCAGGGCATTAACCCACAGTGCCATACCAGGACTTCTGTATTTTAGTGCCATTGAATCAATTCTGACTCATAAGGACTTTGTACAGGGTTTCCGAGGAGCAGCTGGTGGCTTTGAAGCACCAACCTTTGGTTCACAGTCCAGTGCTGATCCTACAATGCCACACCAGGAGTCCTAGGTTGTTGTTAAGTGCCATCAAGTTGGTTCTGACTTATAGAGACCATTCCAGGAGTCACTTGTTCAACTTATTTGAAATTTTGACCCACCTAAGTAACCTATCATCAGACATCACTATGAGTTTCTCAATGGATCTTCTAGAATGTTCTATAATGAATTCTACTCAAACTAATATTGGCATTTATACCAGCAAGTAGGAGATGGTTATGCTTTATGAAAGGGATTAAGAAATGTTTTCTGTAAAAGGTCAAATGGTAAACATTTTAGGCTTTGCAGGCCATATGGTTTCTGTTGCAAAATCTCATCTCCCTCATTGTAATGTAAAGCAATCATAGACAATATGCAAATGAATGTCTGGTTGTGTTCCAATAAAGCTTTATTTACACAGATAAGCAGTGGGCTAGATTTGGACCATGGACCTAAGTTTGTGGATCTTTGCTCTCTGGCATCTCTATGGAAGCATTTACTCATTCAACAAAAGTTTATTGAGTACTTACAATGTGATAGGCACAATGCTAAACCTGGGAAGGCAGCAAGCAGTGCACAAATAATGTTCATTTCATGCCTGTATAGAGCTTATAGTCTACCAGGGAAATAGATAAGCAAATGGGTCATTACAAAAAAATGTGACAAGTATTAGGACAGAGAAGAATTTAGGACACTATTAAGGTGTATCCCTTTATCCAAGCACTAAATAGAAATCCAAATGGGTCAAAAGCTGAGCTTGAAGAAACTCAGTGTAGTCATCTGTGTTGTTTTTTAGTTTTTCTTTGGTTTTCCCTTCATGGATTCAGCGATGTTAAGGGAAGTGACTTAAGTTGACCCCTGAAGGATGAGTTGTTGTTAGTCAGTTAAAAGAAGGTTTGGGAGGACAAGAGAGCAGTCCAGGCAAGGAGGAAAAGAATTAGTAGAAAATAGTTGCTCAAATAAATCCTAAACCATGAGCAAGCCAGTGTTTATAGCAATGGAAAGTCAGCCAGGAAACTTAATTTGCATAAGGTCAGGGAAATGGAGGAAGAGAGGGAACAGTTGTGATGAGAATCAGGAGGAAGAGAAGATAGAGATACAAATAAATTACAGTAATCAAGGAGTTGCAGAGAAGATTAAACATCAAGTAGACACATCACTTTATGAAAGCTACTTGCTGGCAGGCTCATCTAGTTTATTCCTGACCTAATTTATTCAAATTTGGGCCTGAAGGCCAGTACTAATTTGCATGTCCAAGAGTCATGTTTGTCTTGAAATCTAAACCTTATCACATTGTAAATGTGACTCTGGAATGACAGCAAATGCAAATTCCTGTTCAGAATGTTATAATTTAATTGGACTTGAAAAAGAAAATAATTCTGAAGATGAAAATAGGAAGGATCATCAGGAACTAGCAGTAATTGCTGTTGGCAGAATAGATTACACACTATGTGTCAAAAGTAAACTCTAAACATGGTGCTTCTGTAATCCTATATCTATTCCCACACTACAGGGATTGATCCGGGATCTGTTGTCATAACAGACACCGCCGTAGACTCCTTCTTTAAGCCCCGGTTTGAACAGGTAATCTTGGACAACATTGTCACCCGAAGTACTGAACTTGACAAGGACCTGGCTGAGGAGCTACTCAACTGTAGCAAAGAAATCCCCAACTTCCCAACCCTTATTGGACATACAATGTGTACTGATGATTTTTATGAAGGTGAGCATAATTTATAAATTATAAAAGCACCAGAAATTGCCAGCAAGTCTTCTGTTATTCAAACACGTAACTTATATTAAAAATGCCACTTCAGAAAAGTTAATCATTGGGGATTTTAAAAGGCACTGAAACAGCCTTTTTCACTTACTAAAGCATAGGAACATAAGGAACTAATAAACAACAGAGAAACATCCATAACGAATTTATACTGAGAGTGGGCTTAATCCTCCAAGAACAAATTGAATACTAAAATGCAATTAGTGATGTTAGCAAAATCTTATCTCTATTTATGCCTTTAATTTAAGTCAGTGACTCTAGGAGAAGGGAAATATATTAATCCTATGCTTCTGTCATCCATCTGTACTCCAAAAAGGATCTGATGATCAATAAAGGGTAGGGATCAGGAAATGGGGAGCGATGTTAGGGCCAGGAATGCGCAAAAGATGAGTAGCCTTGGGATAATTCTACTACTTCTTGGCACAGATTAAAGGATATTCAAACCAAGTTTAGAGACAGAGGTGATTGCCAAATTGTAGCTTTTACCACAAGACGTAAGGGCTCAGAGGCCAGGGACTAGGTGGGGGTTGAGGGAGGAATTTCAAGGACAAACAGACCCTTCTCATTTTGGAAGAAAAAATTTAAACATGGTTACATACCTTGGAGGTACCACCTTGGTAACACCTTGAAGGCCATTCTGAAGATCTTGTGTTTTCAGTGTAGTTGTGTTTGAGTATTTTCATAACAAACATAATTTTATTATTTTATTTTCCCTTTGTATCAAAATTAGGGTATTGGATTTTTTAAATTATGTATGTAGATAGGTTGTTGTTGTTGTTAAATGGCATCAAGTTGGTTCTGACTCATAAAGACCCTGTATAGGGTTTTTGAGGAAAGACTGGTGAGCTTGAACTGCTGACATTATGGTTCAAACTGACTACAGTCAAGCACATTAACCCACAGCGCCACACCAGGACATAATATAAAAATCCTACTTCAAGTTAGTAAGGTGGTATCATCCCATAGTGGTGGTGGTGGTTATGTGCCGTGGAATTGTAACCAACTCATAGTGACCCTAAGGAGCTCTAGTAGCGTAGTGGTTACGAATCGGGCTGCGAACCTTAAGGTCAGCGATTCTAAACTACCAGCCGCTCCGCGGGAGAAAGATGAGGCTTTCTACTCCTGTAAGGATTTACACCCTTGGAAACCCTGTACAGGGTCGCTATGGGTCGGAACCGACTCGACGGCACTTAACAACAACAACAACAACATAGTGACCCTGTACAAGGTTTCCGAGGCTGTAAATCTTTATAGGAGCAGAAAGCCTCATCTTTCCCCCTCGGAACAGCTTGTAGTTTTGAACTGCTGACCTCAAGGTTCGCAGCCCGATTCATAACCACTACACTACCAGATCTCCTTAAAGCTGTTATAGAATAGGAGGGGAGTTCGTCTGATAAGGACCCACTGTCCTAAGTCACTGCCCACACTCCTTTCCTCTTGAAGGTCACCATGGGTTAAAGTCAGAGCTTGCAATTGGCAGTCTGTTTAGAGCAAACCTTGGATCTGTTTCCTTTAGACTCCACAGTGTGTTTTTTTTTGTTTTGTTATTGTAAATAATTTAACCAACATTTATACTTTCTGGAGGTTTCCTATAAGAATCCAGATTTTTGGCTTCTTGAAATAGCATAAACCCATTGCCATCAATTTGATTCTGACTTGTATATAGGGTTTCCAAAACCATAAATCTTTGTGGGAGCAGACACCCTCATCTTTCTCCCATGAAGCAGCTGGTAAATTTGAACTGCCAACTTTGCTGTTAGCAGCCCGATGTCTAACCCACGGCACCATGGGTTCTTTGAAATAACATTGCATAAAAATATAAAGTAATACATGCATGGCAGCCCTGGCAAACTCCACATATGGGCCTATATTTGCTGGGGTAAGAGGAGGCTGCACCCTTCAGATTGGGCAGCCCTCTAATTTTCCAGGCACTTATTGACATTACCTGGGACATCACTGTTTGACTCAGTTTAGCCAACACTGTGTGAGAGGTGTTGGCAGGCAATCATAAGGGAACAGGAATGGGGAGAAACCAATAGTTGGTGTGGAAAGAGCATGAAAAGAGAAAAATTGCAGGAAGGGCAACAAAAAAAGAGACCTGTGAAATGCATGAAAGGTGATAATGTTTTTAGTCCATCTGCTTCAGTCGAGCTTTTCTTGGGAATGCAGAGTGGAGAAAAGGTATGTTCTTGGGTGTGTACAGGGTGGAGGTAGTGTAGTTGACCAGGATTCTCTCTGCCTTCTGTCTTCACTAATTGATACAGGTGAAATCAATTGATAAATGAACACAGAAGGCAACCTGGAAAGGGGAAAGGGATCCCTGAGGTGTGGTCTACATCCTGAGGGGTGTGTTGAAGGGACTTAGGTAGACTGGCAGATTATTATGGCATGATGGATATACGGAGAGCTGCAGTGTCCAAACCACAGTCCTCATACTCAAGTAACTTATGAACATCATGAATCCCTTCTCCCCCAGCATCTTTCCCCAGGCCATTCCCAAGGTCATTAAAGCAACCTGAGATTGTCTTCAAAGGGCAGAGCTGGCAGTGGCTGCCCAGACCCCAGTGCCCCTGAGTCAACCACTCCAAGTGTTCTCAGTGTCATGGTGATGCCTTCCTACATACAAGACTCCTAAACCAGGCACAGCCTTGCTCCTTGGTCCTCCCCTCTGGGGAACAGGCCTGTCAGGTCAACCAATGTCCTGCATTCTCTTTCAGGCCAGGGTCGATTAGATGGAGCACTGTGTTCCTTCTCCAGAGAAAAAAAAGTAGATTACTTGCAGAGGGCATATAAAGCCGGTGTCAGGAATATTGAAATGGAATCGACTGTGTTTGCGGCCATGTGTGGACTTTGTGATCTAAAAGGTAATCTTTCCATGAATTCTGGGGTCAATGTCTCCTCTTTTGTGTAGTTTAAAGGGCTCTATATTTATGTTAATTGGGTTGAATGCTTGCCTTCTAGTTGTTTATGTTTATTGTCATTGTTATTGTTATGTGCTGTGTAGTCGGTTCCGACTCACAGTGACCCTGTACAGGGTTTCCAAGGCTGTAAATGTTTATGGGAGCTGAAAGCCTCATCTTTCTCCTGCAGAACAGCTGGTAGTTTCAAACTGCTGCCCGTGAGATTAGCAGACTGGTTTGTAACCATTACGCTACCAGTGCTCCTTGTTTATAGTTATAGCATGTATTATTTCATGTCTTATGAGTGGGTAGGACATTATCCCCATTATGTAAATGAGGAAAACAAGCCTCCAGGGTTAAGTGAATTGGCCAAGGTACCTAGCTAGTGGATTATGTAGCCAGAATATGACAGCACGTTTAGTATTCTTCATTCTGGTATTGTAGTTAAGCACCGTTGAGTTGGTTCTGACTCATAGCCACCCTCCATAGGGTTTCTGAGGAGCGGCTGGTGAGCTTGAACTACCAACCTTGTGGTTTGAACTGACCTTGCAGTCCAGCGCATTAACCCGCAGTGCCACACCAGGACTCCATCCTGGCAGGAGCTGTTGTTTTCTATTAAAATTGAATTTATTGAAACAGATATGAATAAAATATTCCTAAAATAATCTGTGAAAAACATCACTGGAGTAGTGTGTTCTTAAAGTTAATTTACATGCATTTTTTCCTTTTCTAAATTTCACATTTTGCAAATTTTCAATTATATGAAACTATTTTTTTCATATTTTGCCACATTTGTGCTTGCTCTCTCTCCAAACACACACACACTTTAAGACATAAATAATTGTAAATGAATTTCAAGCTTTTTCACACCTTAGTCCCAAATTTCTCAGCAGCATCTCCTAAGAATGAGGACATTCTCTTGAAAACCACAATGCCACGATCATACTAAAAGTTTAGAGAAGTAAAAATGATCATACTAAAAGCTAAGAGAAGCAAAAATTATCTCATAACATCACCTTAATACCCACTTTACATTCAAATTTCTCCATTAAAAAAAAATTAACTATGCAATGTACCCAACATCCAATTATCTTCATGCATTGTAGTATGTGGGTGTTATATCTCTGTACTCCTTTAATCTAGAATAATCCCAGTCTTTGTATTTTTTTTTCTCCATATTACATTTATTGCCTCTTTTGAAGAGCAGCACATTGCCTATATTCTGTATTTGCAATGGTGTTTCCAGTGCCCTCAGGGGTGCAGAATACACCAGATAATACTATCAGAGGGGGTGAGCCCAAAATAACTGTCTATGAAATTTTTGTGCAGAGTTTCAGCAGAAATTTATTATTATTAATATTTTAAATCCCTGTATCTAATTATAACAACAAAAACATCATCTTGTTATCCAGGTTTACATGCATTAAAATGCCTATAAGGCTAAAACTGAATGATAATTTATTTTTAAACCTTCTAATGTACTCGGGTCAGAGCTGTCATTATTACCCAATCACAATGATGCTTCAGCTTACATGGTTGTACGTGGCCATGTTATAAATCAAAAGATGTTTTTTCATTGCTACCAATGATTTTATAATCACTGGTTTTGTCAAATTTTCTGGTGTTTTTACTATAATATTACAGTAAGTAGTACTTGTGAACCTATGTCTATAAATTTTCTGAGAACGAAGTAGTAATAAAAGGAAAAGGAAAAATAAATTATAAAGGCTTCCACTTAGTTACTAATAATATTATAGCTAATGAAGTTGTAATTCAATGTAAAAAGGTTTTACAATATAATTTTATTGTTAGTATTCAAATAATCTAAGACGTATTATAATTAAGGAATCTATAAGTATTGTTGTTGTTAAGTGTCATCGAGTTGGTTCCAGCTCACTCGACCTTATTCACAACAGAACAAAACACTACCTGTTCCAGTCCCATCCTCACAATCATTTCTACGCTTCAGTCCATTGCTGCTACCACTATGCAAATCCCTCTCCTTGAGGGTTTTCCTCTTTTTCTCTCCACTTTATCAAACATGATGTCCTTCTCCAGGGACAGGTCCCTCTTGATAGTATGGCAAACTTTGAGCAATAAAATCTCATCGTCCTGGTTTCTAAGGAGTTTTCTGGCTGTATTTCTTCCAACACAAATTTCTTTGTGTTTTTTGTAGCCGTCTATGGTGCTTTTAAGGAGCTCTGGTAGCATAATGGTTATGAATTGGGCTGCTAACGTCAAGGTCGGCAGTTCAAAACTAACAGCTGTTCCACGGGAAAAAGGTGAGGCTTTTTGCTCCCGTAAAGATTTACAGCCTCGGAAACCCTGTACAGGGTCACTATGAGTTGGAACTGACTCCATGGTACTTAACAACAACATGGTACTTTTAAGGAGCTCTGGTTGCGTAGTGGTTAAGAATTGAGTTGCTGATCTCACAGTCAGCAGTCGAAACTACCAGCTGTTCCACGGGAGAAAAGATGAGACTTTCTGCTCCCGAAAGATTTACAGCCTTGGAAACCCTGTACATGGTCGCTATGTGTCGGAACCGACTCCACGGCACATAACAACAACAAATGGTACTTTTAATAGTCTTCTCCAATACCGTAACTCAAACACATCAATTCTTCTGTGACTTGCTTATTCATTATCCAACTTTCACATGCATATGAGGTTATTGAAAATACCAGGGCTTGGGTCAGGCACACCTTAGTCCTCAAACTTACATTTTTGCTCTTCAACACTTTCAAGAGGTCTTATACTGCAGATTTGCTTAATGCAATATGTCATTTTAATTCTTGACTGCTGCTTCCATGAACATTGACAGTGTATCCAGGCAAAATGAAGGCTTTGACAACTTCAAACTTTTCTTCCTTTATCATGATGTTGTTTATTGGTTTCCTGGTGTGGTGATGTAGGAATAGAACTGAACCACAAACCACAAGGTCAGAACAATTCAAACCCATCAGCTGCTCCTCATAAACCCTTTACAGGGGCCCTAAGAGTTGGGATCGACTTGACAGCATTTAACAGCATATATTGGTCCAGTGGTGAGGATTTTTGCTTTCTTTATATTGATGTGCAATCCATACAGAAGGCTGTGGTCTTTGATCTTCATCAGTATTTTAAGTCCTTTTAGCTTTTAGCAAGCAAGGTTGCATCACCTGCATATCTCAGGTTGTTAACAAGTCTTTCTCTAGTTCTATTCTTCTTCATATAATCCAGCATCTCAGATCATTTGCTCAGCATACAGATTGAATAAGTATGGTGAAAAATACAACCCCGGGACACAGCTTTCCTGCTTTTAAACAATTCAGTTTCCCCCTGTTCTGTGTAAGCGATTGCATTTTGTTTGTGTACAGGTTCCTCCTGGGTACAATTAAGTGTTCTGGAATACTCATTCTCAGTAAAATGTTGTCCATAACTTGTCATGATCCCTGCAGTCGAAAGCCTTGCATAGTCAAGGCACAGGTCAACATCTTCCTGGTATTCTCTGCTTTCAGCCAAGATCCATCTGAGCTCCCTTTACTGTTGCAACTATTTTTTAATTATCTTTTGCAAAATATTACCTGCATGTGATATTAATGATATTATCCAATGATCTATGCATTCTGTTGGGGCACCTCTTTTTGGAATATGGATCTCTTCCAAAAGTTTCAGTTGGCCAAGTAGATGTCTTCCAATTTTTTTGGCATAGATGAGTGAGTGCCTCCAGTGCTGCATAAGTTTGTTGAAAGATTTCGATTTGTTTTCCATCAATTCCTGGAGCCTTGTTCTTGGCTAGTGCCTTGAGTGCACCTTGGACTTCTTCCTCTAGTACCACTGACTTCTTGAAATGGTTGAACATCAACCATTTCTTTTTCGTGTAGTGACTATGTGGGAGTCCTAGTGTGGTTGGTGTTGCAGGATCATGTACTGGATCACAAGGTCAGTTAGATCCACAAGGTTGGCAGTTCAAACCCACCAGGCACTCCTCAAAAATTCTATTCAGGGTTACTATGGGTTAGAACCGACTCAATGGCAGTTAGCAACAACAACATAGTGACTATGTATTCCTTTCATCTTATTTTGATGCTTTCTGCATCAATCAATATTTTGCCCATAGAATTCTTCAGTATCACAAGCCAAGGCTTGAATTTTTTCCTCAGTTCTTTCAGCTTGAGAAATGATGAGCATGCTCTTCACTTTGGGTTTCTAACTCCAGGTTTTTGCAAATTTCTTTATAATACTTGACTTTGTCTTCTCAAGCTGCCCTTTGAAATTTTCTATTCAGTTCAATTACTTCCTCATTTCCTCCATTTGCTTTAGCATCTTTACACTGGAGAGCAAGTTTCAGAGTCTCTTCTGGCATCCATTTTGGTCTTTTCCTTATTTCTAGTCTTTTTTATGACCTTTTACTTTTTTGTATGATGTTCTTGATGTCATTCCATAACTCTTCTGATTTTCAATCATAAGTATCTAATGCATCAAATATGTTCTTCAGGTGGTCTCTAAATTCAGGTTGGATATGCTCAGGGTCCGTATTTTGGCTTTCCTGAACTTGTTTTCATTTTCTCCAGCTTCATATGAGCAATTGATGGTATGTTCCGCAGTCTGTCCTTTGCCTTATTTTGGCTAATGTTCTGGAGCTTTTTGCACCATATCTTCCCACAGATGTTGTCAGTTTAATTCTTGTGTATTCCATGTGTGGAACCTATGTGTATAGTCATCTTTTATGTAGTATAGTAAAGGTATTTGCAATGAAGAAGTCATTGGACTTAAAATTCAATCATGCAATCTCTAGCATCATTTCTGTTACCAAGGCCCTATTTTACAACTACCGATCTTTCCTCTTTGTTTACAACTTTTATAAACCAATCACCAACAAATAGCAATACATTTTGATTGCATGTTTGACTAACATCAGACTGAAGAAGTTGGTTGTTTTTGTTAAGTGCTGTCAAGTTCATTTTGATTCATAGTGACCC